TCAATACCTGCAGGGAATAAACCGAATTTATAAAGAAAGCATTTTGGGTTAAAGCAAAACATAAGCCTGATGGAAACTCGAGGGTTGCGTGTACGTGTTGAGCCCCAAGAGGGATGAAATTGCTCGTGGACAGTTGAAGAGGTTTCGGTAAACATCTCAGTAGTTTCATTTAATAAAATATACTGCTCCGGGAGAAATGAAATTAACTGCACCTTTGTTCCCTATCCTCAATTCTCACCCTACTGCCGTGCTGGGTAAAGAGTGGGTTTCCTTGAATCTCACTGCGAATTCTGTGCTTTCTCGTTGACGGGAACACCGTTTATACGATCTCCTTCTGTCTATTTTAGTTGGGGTGCTCAACGGCCTATTTGAAGCGTATGTTCCGTTTTGTAAGTTGATAAACTTTCACTAACTACTCTCATTTGTACACTAAGGTGTTTGCAAGGCAGGTCCAACTGAATCACAGCTGAATCTGTATTTTTACAGCATTCCTCAACTGAATATGCATGTCACAGGCTCCACTATGAATTAGTAGAGACGATTTTCGAGAGGTAGCAGAATAATTTCTTGAAACAACAATGATCATGAGAGTGAATTGTAATTTGAAGAGCAACACACGCTCGGTACCTGGCCAAAAGGAGTTCCAACAGCCAGTATACTTGGATCGGATGAGTGCGTCAGGACGGTGGTGCTCAAGTATCCTGATGGTTCAATAACCTGAGATTTTTCAAAGATATGCCTGATAGAGGGGGTGGATGAGCCGTAGAAGCTCGGTCACAGTAGGGTACATGAACGACTCTCGGAGATAACTGTGGCTAGAGTCAGTTGTACCATTTTCGCCTCTCATGTTCGCTAGTGTCCGGTGCTGAGTGGGGGGTAGCTTAGGAAGACCAAACTGGCTTTGGTGGGTGGTGTACTTTCTTCCTCACGGTCGAACCGCTCCCTTGTCTCAGCCTGCTATTTACTGCGCCTACCTCCTAGATTCGGTATGCATATTAATCCCTGATGAACTGCTTACCTTTGACATTTCAAACTAATTCCGTCGACCATCTTTTATGCGCACTTTTTGACCACTTGCGTCACGGGGTGTTGTGCGCAGGCGTGTATCGCTAATTAAGATCGATTTACCGTCATCTCCGGGGTTTCTTTGAACTTGCCATTTTGCGTGTCGCTCAATAGCGCTTTCTCGAATACGTCAAATTATTCTACAAAGAAATTATCATGAAATTTTGGGGTTTTTGCGGGATATGTATTTTGTTCATAGCCACACCACTCTCGTTTGAACGGCCGTGTTCCTGTTCTGGCGTAATTATTCCGGTGAGTCCGGAATAATTTCTAACGAAAATAAATCTGTCAATTAAAACTTACTAATCAAGCCAAACAGTGGGAGCAAAAATTGTCTAACCCCATAGCGTACAAAATCCCTTCAAAAGTCAGGTCACTTTCTAAGAGACGTTTGTTATGGAGTTCCATTTTCGGCTGCACTGAAGTGCACACTAGTGACTCAGATTCAATGTAGTGCTGAAACACTCCCTGAAGAGAATAGAAGGTCCCACACCAAACTGGTAAATCCACAAGGAAATGGGGTTTTTCGTCTACGGTGTGAGCGGCCTCATCTTTGAAGGCATTCAACCATTGTATAACATAATCTCTGGTTTCGAGGACGAACTCTCAAGTACCTGATTGAACCCGTTGTCAGCAAAGGTAGCGTTTTGTAATAGCAAATGTCGGCATCGCCACACACGCCATTATCGAGTCCAAAATGGAATAGACCTGGAAGTTATTGACGTTGTAGTGACAGTCGTGTTATTCTAGATGACTTACATGAAAACAGCGCAAACAACTTGATAGTGAATGGCATTCTAGTTACTTCCAACTCCAAGCAAGGAACCCACAATGAATTTTCTGTCAGTAGTGGAAGGCACTGCATCCCACTTCGCTCTTCGAAGTTGTTTGGGTTAAAAACCCATCCGATTTGAGCTGAGGACATTAAACTCCTCCAGCGTTTCAACGCCGAACTCTTTTAGTCTCGTGAGAATGGTGTATTCGTATAATGGTAATATACGCGGCGGTTTTTAGAAGAAGTGATTCGGCCTACTGCCGCTTCACACGTAATTCCGGCTTGGTTACCTGGTACTTTAGCATATTTTGCGTAACATTTTTGAGGGTAAAAACGAGTCAAGAAAGGGAAAGGTATTGTATATCAATGAAATATGAAAGGGGTTACTGAAAATAATACGTGTGCTGTTTTGTGACTTTTCTATGAATAATGATCCCAAGATGGAACACGTCAGTGAGTGGAAACATTGGAAAAATGCCCTAGATGAGCATTCACCGCCGTGCGTTTATCAGAGCTTTCGCAGCTGAACCATCGATTCACGCCACAATATTCCCGTCAAACAAGAAGACCATTTCTACCTTTAAATCGAGCCATAACGGATATCAGTGAACATCTTTAGTACACGGGTATTCACGTTTAGTCTCCAAATCATCGGCGAACGAGACGATGGTAGCTAGAACCGCCGTACAACACACGTGCACGGTATACACGTCATGTCGATGAGTCTGGAGGGTTTACCTGGTGGTTATCGGGCTTCGTGGTCTCACTGATCCTCCGTGGTTCGTCGGCATCAAACTCAGTCATGTAAGTCGTAAACAAAACAGGAATGCAAACGTGAAGCTGCCGGAGGAAAAACCAGGACACTTTGGCGCGGCGCGACCCCTAAAGCATAATAACCGACGCATTAGCCAACATACTTGGATGTCATGAGTTTGTTACTATCCCGGAAGCCTCAGCTGTTCACACGGACATGAGAAACTTCGCCAGTATTTCTTATTCCTCACATGTCGGATTAGGTCACTGCCACGATGGGATGTCGGGGACCTGGAAATGCGAAATTAAATTCAGCCTGTATTCTCAGTCAAAACAGTAAACCTTACTCTCTTACACAATCAGTTTAGAAGTAATCTGAACAAAGAAGGAAGTCACGTCAACTGTGCATCAGATGTTGATCTGTTTGCAATTTAAACCAGTCGCGACCGCGAACAGACGAAATACCAACCGCTCCTAAGTGCTGCATAAACATCCAGATAGCATACCAATCACGAGAGAAAATATTTGAACATCAATGCAGCAAGCAGAGGGATGAGTGCAATTCGCTTCTATGTGATAAAAGCGCACGATTTTGCATTAGAAGACGGAAAGTCGCTTGAAGTGAAACGAAGTCTTTCTATCGATTTCCGGGAACGAAGCCATAATGGTCGTCATGACGCAAGATCACTGATTTCGCGTGATTCTGTGACGAAAAAGACCCCAGGAGTAATGGGGTAGTTGAAGGAAACAATAATCACACATATCTAGCCGTTTCAAACTCCTGACTGATTCCTCCTGACTTTGCACATTTGGTTGGCCATTGCACATCACTCTGGTTGGTTCAACACATAACTTTACCGTCGCCAATCCAATCGACTAAACATCAGTCGTAGTCACTGTCACGCCTCCAACGTAAAATCCATGGCCGTTTCCTCACCAGTTCAGTCACATAGACCATCCATTTACTCAACGGTGTTCAGCCTATTCACCAGTCGGACCAGGTAGATGTGACTGTTCTCATTTCAAGAGTAGCTCAGCGTACGCAACAGAAGCACTACCATACGGTACGAAGTAGACCATGCTTACTGTCGTTGTCGAGGTTCGACTAAGCAACCAACTGTGGTGATCGGCGAAGTAGAATCAGGCAATGGTTACTTGGTTCCAAATCCCAGGACGCTGGAGAAAGTGATCTTGTCAGAGCTGCCAAACATGTCAAAACCAGAGAAAATCAATATGGATTGGGTGACGGTGGGCTTCAGTAGTGTGATCACGTCTACAAAGTTAACTGAGTTTGCTATTTAAATGCTGTGCGTAAATGACCGGAATGAGTATTACATCTCTTTAGTGTTTTTTTGTCCCAGAGAGATGCTGTTTTTAGACAACTTGGCGCGGGAAGCAACCGGCTCATTGCTTGAATATGGCACAAATTAACCTACAAAATGCCGTAGAACTGCACGTGCCCCAAGAAGATCTTGACAAAATGTACATATTACTGCCTACAGTGACTCGCCACATATCCAAAGCATCTCGCTCAGTCCTATCAGCAACCAGCAATCTACATGCGGGATTTGAGCATCACGTACACAACTGAATAACTCGATTTTCTGCCAGTGCCGAGGAGTACGTTGACGGTTCACCGTCGGGTCACGAGTGTGCATGAAGACCGCTCATACCTTGTCAACTGTTGGGTTAGCGATCTTATAACGGTTCAGACAACATGCCTTGTCGATATTTACTCGCTGCTCGGTCCACCTTCTGCTTGATCTACCTCAGCTGTTCTGACTATTCCACGTCCTTGAGCACCAAACAAATTTGTTTCTCACACGATGAACATTAGGAGTTTAAGCATCACCTACAATTGCTTCTCACACCCTCAGACCCGGGAAACACACAGCATCGCTGACTGCTTTCCGTACGAGGATGCGTGCGCGAGAACACAATTGTATGTTGTCGAAATGTGGATTGGTTGACCGAACTGCCCAGCGAAATGATCGGGCTTCGCACATGTGATGGGTGACGCAGCGCCGAACCATGAATAATTCACTCTCGTATATTCTGTGATAGAACGGCCCTTCCCTCTAGTGATTACATGAAATTCTGACGCCTTTCCGACAAGCATGTGAGAAATAATTTTGAAAGACTGTTGAATTTCGAAATGCCGTTTTGCAAGTCGTATACTTTCGTTGCATAGCGTCGCAAATAGTTCGACGCTTGTAGGATTTCTTGGACGTGTGTTCAAGGATTTTCATGCATCACATCGGCTATTGAATAGCATTGAATTCTACTCTATCGTCATTCAATTCAAGAGTCCATCACCGTCGTATTTGGATAGCATGTGTTGCCCTTGTTCTATAATTCAGTCATCAGATTTCATACCTGCTTTTATCGCCATTTTTTTCCAAAGTAGCATATATAGGCAATACCGGGTCGGTGAACGTGACACAGGATGTCGGACAACCACGGGATGAAGCGGAACAAACTGAGATGACAAAGAACTCATCATGTCCGAAACGTCTTGGCAATATTTACAAGTGTCCCGTATGCGATAAATCATTTGTTGAGCTTTCCAAAGCTTTAGAGCATCAAAAGTCTCACTCAACCGACCGTGACTTTCACTGCAGTAAATGCATGTGTTCGTTCAAGCATAAAAAGAGTCTTAGTCGTCACTTGAAGCAAGCACACGAAAACCAAGTATATCGTTTGCATTTCAAAACACCATGCACACAGGTCCGAGAATCAGAGAAAAAAGGGAACCCGTGTCCTGAATGCCATATGACTTTTGCAAGGTGGGATAATCTTCAACGACATCGAAAATCGGTTCACACAACAGGACAGCGCCATGCATGCCACGAATGCGGAAAACTTCTCAGCCACAAACGACAGCTTTCCCGACATATCAGAGAGATGCACACGCGGGATTATCAGTACGTCTGCGAACAGTGCAAGGAAACGTTCAGTCGTGCATATGTGCTCAAAAAACACACTAGCTTAGTGCACGGTGTAGGTCGAATACCTGATTGACAGTCGAATGCATCAAAGATTTCTAAAAATCACTATCCATCCGCATCGAAATTTTCGCGTGGACTGTGATTCGGACAGTACGGCAAACGTTGCATCAAATTCAATGCGTGAAGTCTTTTCTATCTGTCAACAAATCGCTCATCCTGGCTTGATTTCTCGCATTCTGCGTTTCGCCACCGTCTGCCTATCGGGGATTCACCACCAGTTCGTCCAAAATTCCTCCGTTCGCTCTTCGCTCGTACTTGTGTTCACAGCCACCACGCGCATCCCCAATGCACGCTCATCCTCAGTGCACGCGCATCCCCAGTGCACGCGCATCCCCAGTGCACGCGCACTCCAGACACACAGAAACACACTCACACATGTGCATACCCTAATCCGCATAGGTACACAAGCTCATGGTCAATCTGTTCGGTATTCTACGAGTTCCTCTATTTCATGTCTTTGCACGTACAGTCCAGTAGTGACCGGGAACCTTAACACTAATGGTGCTTGTTAATGCGGTAATCTGGGCCGTCGATTCTTCCCCGCTGGAATTTCCCGTTTCACTATCCGGACAGCATGATTTGAAATCGGCCAATCCGCGGTTCTCCCGGTTACGTTCCATGAATGTTAACATCCTTGCGTGGCGCTTTCTGTTTTTCTTATTCGTTTTGCTAGATTTAAGGAGGATTCCCAGTAGAATAAAACTCTGATACACACGTTTTTGTTAATCGTTGTGTTTTGCCGAACTATGTTAGTTCCCTGCATCACCAATGAACAGTAACACAATTTGTTCACTTATTGGTGAATTGGCCGGTTGTAAAGTTCGGTTAGACTTTAGTTCCTTGTGCCCAACAGATATTTGGTGACTTCTTTCTCATTTCTGTTGCTGGCCGGGACTATTCTGCATATCGGTGCTGACAATAGTAATTCGTGTTTTTTTTCGTTGCCAGGGCCTAGCATGAATTTAACATTCGACAAATCCAGGATGAACTGACATTGCAGGAACCTTAGTGATTTCGACCGTAATCCCCAAGGCGCGGCAGTCACAGTCAAACGTCGGGCGAGTGGTGTGCTCATTTTCGGACCTTTCGTTGCTAACGCGATCATCTTAGTGAAAATAAGCATTGTGGCTTCCATGAATATGGCTCTGTTGGTGGCCAGTGGGAAACCCCTCAATTCCTTCGTACTCCTATTTCAGAGGACAGTATAGATTAACCTCCAGACCGCCTCTTATTACAATTTCTCGCAGTTCGTGGACTCGCGGTTCTCTCCTGGGCTGCTCCAAGTTGGTATCCCTGGCATCGTTGAACAGTTAGAACCAGAGTTACAGCCAGTACACCCCATAGAATCAGTACAGCACAGAAACATAAACACTACGGTTAGATGAAAGCTTTAGTTTGGTTTAGCTTCATCTCTTCATTGAAACTTCGAGATTTTACTCAATGGGAATGGCGAAATCAGCTTGTGAACTGCAGCTCTGTGTACGTCACGTCAACGCCGCAAAAATTAGCATTCGAGGTCACCTGGTTTTTTCCGAAGACCCGGCAGTTTAGCTGCAATAGGTCAAGTAATGACTATTTACAATTCCAATTTCTCATGGGAAAATGCATCTCGAGCCAAATGCGTTTTGTGAAATTTATTTCCGCCTTATTGGTGTTCACCATACAAGCACCCCTCCCTAACGCAGCTTCCGAAAATTTTTATCTGAAAAATCGGTTTCGAACACGAGGCCCGTAGCACACTCTTTTATTCACGTACCAACGGAATCGACAAAATCAACAAGGCTAACTTTATCGCGGGAGAGGGCGGCCTTAGCACAGGTCATTAGATATCACATCCACCAATCAACACTATCCTCTTCTGCCAGGCACTTCACACTGATATATGAAGCGTGGTTCCGTTTGGATCCCCCTAAAGTCTTAAGGGTTTGGCTGCGCTAAGTTTCGTGAAGCCAAATTGGACCGATTTACTCCAAAGACTTTCGTCAACGGATGCATTGAGAATTCCCGAAACGCGTCTCTACACATCCTCCGAAATGGATCCCTTACTGCAGGGAAGCATTGTGCATTTTGCGACCTACTGAGGTAGAAGAATCTGTCGTTACAAGCAACGAAAAGGAATAACAAGGCTTTTGGTATGATTATACGAAGATTGTGATTTTGGACAACCAAAGTACCAGGTTTCCAAGACGGATTTATTCAATTTTTGGGAAGAAACAGTGATGAATATGCATATTCGCGACTCGCAGCCACATTTGAACTACATTCCCGAATGCCACATGTCCGCGATTTACTTAGGATGGCGGAAATTGATCAAATTGCCAGGAATTCGTTATGACCGTAAACCCTGGTTAACGGCGTCTTGTCCAGAAACAGACCGTTTATTTCGAATGTGAGTGATCAACTTTTGAAGCAGCAACCCGTAGCAGATTATTTACATCAGGCTTCAGATTTGTATACCATAATTTACCGTGTAGTCCTTTGACTTTGTGCCTTCCAATATTCATCAAATTGCAACAAAATGGCCCGCAGTTCACTCAGAATAGCCCCGGGCTCCAATTTCACCATCATTAAGCCTGTTCCCTCTGAAACGAGTCCAGGTGAACCTCAGATACAAGCAAATTAGCTTACAAATATGGGCGTGTATCTCGGCGAGCTTCATACAACTTGAGTTCGAGCAGAACAGTAAATTGACGGAACCTCGGTGACTGGGTCTGCGGGATGAGGCCCAACAAAAGCGAAACCGGTTGTGCTCTGTCGGAGAGATTTCAGTGTTGTTGGAATCCTTTTAATATTGTGCGCACCACAGAGTGGACGTACACAGAAGAGTTGACGGCGCCGCAGTAGATTAAGGACCCGGCGGATCCGAACAACGCCAGCACCCGTGGAAGGCAGCATGAACGGATGGTATAAAAAATCGTCGAACACATAGATGAGTAGGGGTTGATACACAGGACGTACTGAAGTTGATGATTTACCGTTTCAAATCATCAAGATCCGGGTGTAGAAACAGTAGTGTTTATTAGTTCTACATACTAAAGATCGTTCTTTCTGTGATTGGGCCAAACAAACTCACGTCAAAATACCGTGTGTTGTCTTGGAATAAATGAGTCCGGGTTTGTCTGGACGCATGCCCAGAATGAACAAACTACTTCCGCTTAGATCAAACAAAAAACCACCAGATGGACACCTGGAATGTATGAACTACCTTATAAAGAAAGTTCGGAACACCAGTTCCAACTCCTCCCAAGTTGTTATTTCACCGATTAAGAACCAGATTGGTTAGATAAAGGAAAACGTTCTGGAGTATATCACAAGACTTTATAGAGGATCTTCGAGAGGGGATTATTCAGAAGCAACCTCAACAAAGTGCTTGCACATCCGATGGCGTTTTTCTCAGCTGACAAAGTAAGGTTCATCCAAGCCCTAAAAATTCCACATATTCCCTACGCTGTGTTGGTTTGGCCAGCCTACCGGTGCGCTTTCCCATAAGTTCCCGGCCAAATGGCAATTTGCTATCATGTGCGCTGAAGTCAACGATTGAAAAATCACTGCAATAAAACAACATCATTCACATAATCATTTGCCCTAAAAACGGCGTGAAATGACGGCAAATCATGCCAGTAGCACAGTTCGGATGACTGGTTTTGCTACTGGGTAGACAAGACGAAAGGACCGCTTTGTCGGAGTGGCCGAAATATTACGTGTTTCAATCGTCTTATTTGATTGAGGCTTAACTTATTGATCGCACAGTGCGTTCGTTTAACGAAACGCTTCACCTAAGGCACATGTTCATGAGAAGGATGACTCACTAGGCAAGGAAGAATGAACCGAGCTCTACTCAGCCGGAGCAGAACAGTAGTTGATTTTGCAGCTGAACTTTGCTCACATGGTTTGTCACATCACCACTAGGGCGGCTCGCAACAGCAGTGCGTACACTTTGTTTATCGTCACACCACTCTCGTTTGAACGGTTGTCCTCCCATTCTGGCGCAGTTATTCCGGCGAGTCCACACCAAGGGGAAGCACTGGAAAACATTACATACCTGGGTAGTTGTATTAGCTCTGACGGAAGTGTGTCTGATGAAGTCAGTGCAAGAATCTCAAAGGCTCGAATCACGTTTGCTAAGCTTCGTCACTTGTGGCGTCAAAAGGGCATCTCACTGGATCTTAAGGGTCGTGTGTACCAGGCTACCATAAGGGCTGTGTTGTTGTATGGGTGCGAGACA